CGTCTTACATTCTGTCACTGGTTTTTAAGCAGTCCAAATCAGTCCATTCTTTGTTTACCAAGTCAGATGGCTGCTCATTTACCATACTTTTGATATATGTTGATGACATAATAATTGGGGAAAATGATTTGAGTTATATCAGACAATTCAAGACTGTACTGAATGAGCAATTCAAGCTAAAAGATTTGGGAGTTCTGAAATATTTCTTAGGTCTTGAAGTTGCTAGAAGTTCAACTGGAATAACCGTTTGCCAAAGGAAGTATGCCTTGGATGTTTTGACTGATGTTAGCTATCTTGGAGCAAAGCCAGCTCATAGCCCACTACCTTGCAATTTGAAGTTAAAGAAAGATGAAGGTAAGGATGTTGCTGATTCTAGCATTTATAGGAGACTTGTGGGAAGTATTTTATATCTTACCATTACCAGACCAGATTTGTCCTATGCTGTTCAAGTGTTAAGTCAGTACCTTCAATGACCTAAACAGCCACATTTGGAGGCAGCGTATTATGTTCTAAGATATATAAAAGGCACACCAGGGCAGGGTCTATTCTTCTTGGGAAGGTTTGACCTACAGCTAAAGGGGTATTGCGATGCTGATTGGGTGACGTGTTCTGATACACGAAGGTCTGTGACAGGCTATTGCATATTTTTGGGGGATTCTTTAGTGTCATGAAAGTCAAAGAAACAACACACCGTTTCTAGATCATCAGCAGAGGCCGAATACAGATCGATGGCTGCGGCAATCTGTGAATTCACTTAGCTGAAAAACATACTTGCTGACCTTAACATTGATCACAACAGACCAGCTCTATTATTCTGTGACAATCAGTCAGCAATACACATTGCAAGCAATCCGATTTTTCATGAGAGAACCAAGCACATAGAAGTAGATTGCCATTTGGTAAGAGATAAGGTACAAGCTAACGAGATCAAGATGTTGTACACGACTTCCCAACAGCAGCTGGTAGACCTGTTAACTAAGCCCTTGGCTGGGATCAAATTCCCCACATTACTTAACAAGATGGGAGTTTAAAGTGTTAAACATACACTTGCCATCTTGAGGGGGAGTGTTGAAATATTAAATATTGTGAAAGGTTATTTATGTCATTTCATACCTTTCATTCTATTTAGTTAGTTGAAGTTTGTATAAATAGGCGCCATTCTCATTTCCTCTGTACTGTGTAATTCATTTGAATCAATTGAATCCAGTTTTGACGTCTATTGATCTCTAGTAAATCTAGATCTCATTCTCACATTTTGTCATATACCATCTTAGAATTTGAAGGAACTAAACCAGCAGCACGGATCACAGAAATATGCACCAGCAAAAGAAATAAAAACATAGATGCGACCAGCAGAGATGAACGTAAACCAGCAAATATAAAAATGGAACAAACTGAATTTAAACTAGAATGTAATTGATAGAACAGAATAGCAGAAACTANAAAATAATGACAATACAAATAATGGCTTCACAAATCAAATCTGGTTCTAGCAAGATACCACATTATATATAGTACTCAAAAACAAATTTATTAAGGGGGGAGAACTAGAATCCATATACATCTATCATCAGTACATATCAATAGCTAACTTATAGCTTGGCAATTGCCACACACACATAAAGCTCAAAACTAAGAAACTCTGCCTAGTCCAACAACCATTTCATACCAAGAAACAAACATCAATCTCGAGCTAAATGCCTTCGTCTAGTCTGCTCTTGACTAACCAGCACGAGAAGAGAGAATAATGCCGACAATAAGATCATAAAGAGCCAAAGCTTCGGCAAAAACGAGAATAAGAATCATTCCAACAAAGAGTTTTGGCTGTTGTGCGTTGGCTTTGTAGAAAAGATGAATAAAGGCAGTAATTAATATGATATTATGATGTCTACTAAAGAAATGATCATATAATAAAAAAAAGAATGAAACCAATAATTTCTTGAAAAACTTGAAGCAGACAATGCATCAATAAATTATAACTAAGAAGGAACCCCAACTGATGAAAAAATCCAGAAATTAGAACGGAAAAATGACAGGTGCCAACATTCAAACGTAGTCCATTTTTGTTGAAGCTACCATGGTTTTATTGATTATCCCCCATTCGTTTTTGGTGAATGTAGAACATTGTTTAAACAACCCTTATGGACTCTAATATGAAACAACTAAATAAACCTATACAGACAAAAACAACTAAAGCGGCAGGTGAATGCAGCTTAATTATGGTCAAACAAATTTGGATTTCTTGTACTAATTGCAACTTATTATCATACTTCTATAAGTTAATGACTACTAGTACGTAATTTTAAGTTAATCTCGCAAGGCAGCCACTAGCAATCTTTGGTATTCAAACAAAAATGAAGACTGCAATTTAGGTAATTAGTCAATCTCCAAAATAGAATTTAACATTTGTGTGCCAATATTCAATACTTCTTCCGGAACAAGTTTAACACTATAATCCCTTTAACTAGTGAATCTAGTTTTGATTGTATTCTTCTTGATTAGGATGAACGTGAATTCACTCAAATGCTTGAAAAATTCCTTGAAAATTTTATGTCGTTGCCACTTTATATTTTTGTATTTAGTCATGATAGGCGTCAATCAACTCATATTGATTCATAGACACATAATTAAGCATGGAATCCCACCTTAAAATATTCTTAAAATTGGCTAAAACTCTATAAATTCTCATTAATCTCCCACGTAAATAGAAGTCAATAAAGTAATGAGAAAGACGAAGAAGAATACTATAAGCACATGAGAAACAACCATGACAATACATAGAAAATTGTATATAGAAAAAACAAAATAGGCCGTATTGGTGAGGAAAAATGGTCAAGCCAATACGTTTAATCTAAAATGGTTAGTTCAATGATTTCACCACAGCATGAGTCTAATTTAAAAGAATCTGCAACTCTTCTGATGCACGATAAGAACTAGTCATTTGCTCACCTTAATTAGTTTAAGTAGATTCAGGCGAGCTATAACATCTGGATGGTCATGTCTCGATATTAGCAATGGTGTCAAACCGTTAACTGCAAGAATGGTGTTTATTAGAGATGATTTCCTGCAAAATAACAATGAAAAACAAAAAAAGAGCATCAGTGAGTTCCTCAAACTGAAAAAGAATGCAGAATTGACATCTTAATTACATACCATATTCCTTTTCCAGTTAGAAAATTGCTCAAAAAAGGTAAATTAAAAGATGTTTGTAGATCTAAAAATTGGACTATTCTAAAAAAATGGCTTAATTGTGAAATAACGTTACCCTGTTTTACAACAGCTATACACCCTCTGTACTCAAACAATATAACCCCAACCCAATCGCTAGAAATTCCGCTTCCACCTCCATCTACCTTTCCCCCTACGAATTAACCGCTCCCAAAATTATCCAAGCCGCCTCAGAAATTCCACCTCCACATCATGAATCAAATTATTTTACACCCAAAAAAAACCAAATGCGAAACCAAATTGAAGGCAACAAGATATAGAATAGCAAGCAAAGAATTGAATTATCGGTACCTGAGATCGAAAATGGAAAAGCAGTTGAAGCTTTGGATTATGGTTACTGAGATTGGAAACGGAAAACCAGTCGAAGCTTTGGATTGTGGGTGGAATCTCCAGTATGAGCGCTAGCTTATGGGAGTGAGACGGGAGAGAACTGAGAAAGAGACAAAGCAGAAAATGCATTTCCCATGTTTTTGGCTTCAAAATTTCCAAAACGTGGTTTCGGTCTTTTTGGGTTTTCAGTGTATTTTTTTTTTTCATTTTCAGAAATGTGTTTTCGAAAATAGGAAAGAAAACACGTTTTCACTGTTTGGGAAAATCGAAAATAGAAAACGGTTTGAAAACAATAAAGATAACATGCCCCTTAACTTTTTAACAGTTAAATGGCTGTTTTGGAAAAATCTCTTCCCCCCTCCCGCCTCCCCTAAAAAAATGTGGTGTGGTGGGGGTGGGGTTGGGGTTGGGCAAGGGGTGAACGGGGTATTTGAATGTGGGGACAGCACACGTGGCAGGTGCCAAGACACCTGTCACACTAATTTTTTTTTTTTTTT